GTCTATGAGTTATTTTTTTTAATCGTTTCACCTTTTTTCACCCAGCTGTCAGTCTGTTCTCTGTTTCTATGAGTCTGTTTCTATTTTGCTAGTTTATTTTGTTCATTAGATTCCACAAATAAGTGAAATCATATGGTATTTATCTTTGTCTGACTGGCTGGTTCCTTTGTCTTTAACACCTTCCCTTATGCCGTGTCTGGGCATGTGTGAGGGGTGTGGCCAAGCATCTTTGGAGGCCGAACCTATGGCATTACTACTATTACTGATGTGCTCTCAGAAGCTAGATAAACAAATGTGACACTGTGCTAACTCTTTTATAGGATCTTTGTGTAAATGGTGCTCAGATACTACACTTTAAAAGCTCATTAGTGGAGGAAGCAGTCAATGAGCTAATAAATATGTTGCTAGATGTGGAAGTTCCATTCAAAGAAGAAAGTGAAAAAGTATCCAATGTGAATGGTGCTGATTCAAAAAACAAAAGTTTAGGTAAGAGATGAGATAGTGGAAGGGTTTTGTTTTTCTAGGACGTTAATGATAATTAAAATGACATTTTCTGCATAGCAACTGATTTCACACTTCTATAAACACCCTCCCAAGTTTATAAGGATGTTTATAAATCCGAAATTATGCAATGACCCTGTGTCATTAATTACATTACTTTTTGTTAAATTCTATAAACATGTAATTTGCATTGGTTCTTGTTAGCTCTTTGCATTTAGCTATGAGTGTGGGCTTTTTTCTCCTTATCAATAGAGTACTAGGGATTATGGTTTGGGAGTTTCCATTGGAGTACATCTGCACTAGAGCAAACCTTTTGTGGGAGAGATGAGAACACTGACAGGCAGAGATGGGAAGCTCTAAGGTTTTCTGGATCTTGGTGGAAGAGAGAGCACCAGAACCCAGGCCCCTGAGGCCCAATCTTGCTTTTCAGTCATTGCTCTTGCCTCTCCTCCTGTTTCCGCACACTGAGGAGGAGATGCCTCCATCAGTCCACCTGGTGACACATTTTCCCTTTTCTATCCTGTGATGGCCTCACTTTCTAAGAAGTGTGACATTTAAGTGTTATCAAATTTGCATGTAATTTATTGTTATTTCTTGCAACAGATGTTTTCTCCCTTCTGTCTTTATCATCTAGTAACAGCAAAAAGAGAAGGACATTCCGACACCTCGACATCTTCCCTTAATGCTGAATCAGGCTTCCTGCCTTTGACGACAATCACGAGAAAGAAGAAAGAGACTGAGATCTTAGAGGAAGAAGCCTGCGAGTTGCTCTCTCATTTCAATCACCAAAACATAGATGCTCTGCTGAAGGTTACAAGGAATACACTAGAGGCCATTCGCAAGCGAATTCATTCATCCAACACGATTAGCTTCCGGGGTAATAATCTCACAGAATTTTCCTACTGGCTGGTCAGGCATAGTGGCTGGTCGTGTGTGTGTGTGTGTGTGTGTGTGTGTGTGTGTGTGTGTGTGAGAGAAATCTAAATAATTAAAAAGCCCGCATTTATTGAGTGTCTCCTTGTAAGTTTATACATCATGAACTTTGATTTCCCCAACAATTCTCTGAAGTAGATACTATCATTATCCTCAATTTAAAACAGAAAACCAGAGCACAGGGAGGTTAAGTAATTTGCTTAAGGTCATTTAGCTTTTGATAATAGCATAATAGTTGGCATTACTTTTAATCTTTTTGTAACAAGGTGGAAATGTAAAATGAATTAGTGAGAGAAAAACACCTCGTGTACTTTAAAAAGGAGATATATGGAAAGATAATTTCATTGCTAAATTATTAGTTGATTAGCCAGTCTTATAAAGTGAGAGAGATCTCATTAATGCCATGCTCTTCAAAGCAGAAATTACTGTTATTATTATTTTTTTACTAATTTTGTGTCAATTTACTACTTTCCAGCTGGTTTCCTCATTATCAATACAATCAGCTCTTCCTCAGCACAATTCAGAAACAGGTGTTGTGTTTCCCAGATGGGTTACAAAAATCCATCAAATCTACAGACATTCTTAAATTAAATTTTAAATTTAAAATAGTAAAAAAAGAGAAACAGTAATTAGTTCAAATGGGAAAATAATAGGAGTATACAACCTTTTTATTTATTTTGAATATTGTCATTTAAGGGAAAGCATCTTTAATTAAAAGTGAATAACTGGAAAATGGAAACACTGGAATAATTGTTTGATTGATGGCCTGGTTCATTATGTTTTATTTCACTTGCAATGGAGGATAGTCTTTTTTTTGATACAGGCATAGTATTAGAACTTATCAAATGTTGGTTGATATGCTGAAAATTAAATCACATTTATTTCCCAACTTTATATATTTTGGGTATTTCCAACTATATAAGTATATAAAGTTACACACACACACACACACACACACACGCAGTCGCCCATATTTATATACTTATACCTTTATCTAACTTTAAAAGCCTCTTGGATATAAATTGTGAGTTGTACTTTATTCTTTTTCCACTTTTTAATTGCTCTGAGTTTAAATTATATAAATTGTGGCAGGAAAGGCATATGTTTTATTTGAAAATCCAAACTGGTCATTTGCTCTGACTTTGGCTTGATTTGATAATTATTCTTGTTCTTAATCCCCTGCTTATTTTTTCTACATATAACTTATTTGTTGGCATCCTATTACTTGAGCAGAATCCTTTTCAGTATTTTAGAGAAGAGTTTGGGTAATTCAGCCTGATTCCACACAGTGGGTATCTATAGAAAGTGTACCAACAAGTTGTAATCAACAGAAAATGGCTTGGGTACTATTGAGCTGCTCTGTTCCATCTATGGAACAAAACTAGATCCTCCAGTAGTTTTCATTCATTCATTCACTCATTCAACAAATATTTATCTGAGTATATACTTGTTACACGTATATTGTGCTAGGTGTTTTAATTTTTCTGGTTAATGATGAAAAAAATCCCATTTTAAGTTTAAAAGATTAAATTTGCCCTGTTTTCCATTTACTCAGATAGTAACAGTGCATCTCAGATGAAGCCGAACAGTCGGCCCATTTTCCGAGCAGGCATCACTCTGGCCATTCCCAACATTGCCATGGTCCCTGCCCTGGAAGATGTACAGCAAATGCTGAACAAAGCTGTGGAGTGTATTGTCAACGTCACCAAGGGGGTTAGACAATGGAGCAGTGAGCCGTGGTCCAAGGTGGGTGTGGGATGAAGAAATTATTCTATGGAATAAAATAAAATCTTTTACAGATGAGACTGAACTGACAAATGTCCTTTTATGTTTTAGAGAAAGATGCATGAAAGAAAAATGGTGGCTTTGCAGAATAAGGAAGACAGTGATTCTGATGTTGAAATGGGAGAAAACGAACCTCAAGGTAAATGTTCTTTTGGTTCTTTTTAACTAGTCATTGTAAGCAGTATTTATTGAGCTAAATGCATGTTCTCTCCATGCAATTCTTAAATCAGAATAGATTGGAATATGATTCTTAAATCAGAATAGGTTGGAATATTAATCTATGATCCCATTTTAAGTGTATAAAATACAAAGATCCATGTGTTTTAATATCACCATTACAAATAGTTTACCTCCCATGGGTATCCCACAGTTTTGGGTGCATCATTGATTTCTGGTCCAATGTGATGATGAGAACTGGGGTTTAGTTTCTCTGTTTGAAGAGATACTTGTCACCATCACAATGAATATTTCCTGATACTAAAGAGACATTTTCAACCCATTATGTGTCTTGTTTTGCCAACATCCTATGATGTGTGAACATGCTGTACAACCCATGGTTTTCATTTGAATTTTGTAAAATTAGGGAGCATATGACCTGCAGGTTCCTCATTATATTAAATTAGGGGCCCGGTGCACGAAATTTGTGCACTGGGTGGGGGTGAGGGGGAGTGTCCCTCAGCCCAGCTTGCCCCCTCTCACATACTTGGAGCCCTCAGGCATTGACCCCCATCAATCTCCAATCGCAGGATTGGCCCCTTGCCCAGGCCTGACGCCTCTGCCAGAGGCGTCAGGCCTGGGCAGGGGACCCTCATTTCCCCCCATCACTGGTTCTGCCCCCAGCCCAGGCCTGATGCCTCTGGCCCAGGCTTCAGGCCTGGGCAGGGGACCCCCAGCCCCCTCCGATTGCTGCCTCCGCCCCCCCGCCCAGGCCTGATGACTCGGCCCGAGGAGTTGACCCTCATCACCATCCGATCGCTGATCACCGGATCGGTCCCTTGCCCAGGCCTGAGGCCTCCGGCAGAGGTGTCAGGCCTGGGCAGGGGACCCCCAGCTCCCCGCGATCTCCCGCTCTGCCCCTGCCCAGGCCTGACACCTGACGATCATGGCTGGGGGGCAGGGCAAAGGCGGCCCTGGGGGCTCTTAGCTCCCCCCTGGGTTTCTGATCACTGTCAGTGGCAGGGGGCTTCTTCCTGCTTTCCCTTTCGCCTCCCTGCATTGTGCCTACATATGCAAATTAACCGCCATCTTTGTTGGCAGTTAACTGCCATCTTAGTTGGCAGTTAATTTGCATATAGCCCTGATTAGCCAATGAAAAGGGTATCGTCGTACGCCAATTACCATTTTTCTCTTTTATTATATAGGATGTTGTCTTTAGTTCTGCAAACTCCTTTTAAAGCAGCCCTGCAAACAACAGACCCCATGTAATTTTCAGTTAGCGCTCATGTCCTGAGATAATAAATCAACGAACCATGGGGAAGAAACTGAAGTTAAGTTTTTCTTTAGAACAGTCTGTTACTGAGGAGGGTAAAGACAGCTCAAGACAACTTTACTCACAACTTACAATATTACTTATTTATTTTAGCTAAAAGACATATGTTGTTATTGTGTTAATGTCACTTTTATATTATGAAGAAACATTGCTTTACTTCCTAGAATAGTTGAAAATTCAGAATTTTCTAAACTCAAAATATGTTCAGTTATCAGTTATATCTTAAATTCAGAAGAAAAAATGTTCAATAAAAATTGTATATATATATTTGTCATGACAAAAGAAATAAGCCACATCTTTTAAAAATAATAGCTTTGAGATATAGTTTACATAACAAAATTTATCCTTTAAAGCATACAATTCAGTGGTTTTTAGTGTGTTTATAACTATCACCACTATCTAATTTTAGAATATATTCATCACCCTCAAAAGAAACCCTGTACCCATTAGCAGTCACTCCCCATTCCTCTTGCCCACAGCCTATGGCACCACTCATGTACTTTCTGTCTTTATGGATTTGCCATTCTACAGCATGCATCAGTTCTTTATTCCTTTTTACTGATAAAAAGGATTCCCTTATATGGGTATGTCACATTGTATTCATTCATTCACGAGTTGATGGGTATTTGGGTTGTTTCCATTTTTTAGCTATTATGAATAATCCAGCTATGAACATTCACATACAAATTTTTTGTGCGGACATTTGTTTTCATTTCTCTTGGGTATATACCTCTAAGTGGAATTGCTGAGTTATATGCCCACTGGTTGGGCTTTCTCATGTATAATTTCTGTTGGCTGCTTTTGTTCCTGTGTGCAAGCACCACTCTGCTGTTTCTTTGCACGTCTCACAATTTAATTTTTTGTTGAAAAGTTGATATTTTAAAAGAATATAAAATGGCAACTTTGGGAATCTGGTTATCTTCCCCCCAGGGTCTGGTGGTGTTACTGTTTGTTTCTTTATTGACTTTCCTGGACTAATTCTATAAAATTTGTCTTGCCTGTGGTGTGTACTGTTGTAATCTCTGCTTCATTAGCTTAGTGTTCAACTAATGCTTGCACAGAGATTTCCTTTATTGCTTTGAACCAGTAAGTCTTCCACCCTCTACCTGGGGACACTGTGTGTGTGTGTGTGTGTGTGTGTGTGTGTGTGTGTGTGTGTGTGTGTTGGAGCACTATGTGTAGAGCACCCTGGAAGCTCAATAAGTTATAACACTGCCTTAGTCTTTATTTACTGATTGTGCAAGCCTCAAGTTCAGCCAGAGCTAAAATATTGGGGCATCTTTAGGTCTCTCCTGGGCATGTGCCTCGCTCTGTACATATATGTGGCCTTGAGCTCCAGGAATATGTCAGGGCGTTATAATACCCCCACCCACCACCCTACTCCTGATGGACATCTCATTTCCAGATCTTTAAATTTTTTTGGCCAACTTCCTGTTTGCCCCAACTAATAGCATTGCCTCAGGCAGCTATAAAGTTAAACAATTGTTGCTGATTAGTTTTGCCTTGGAGATAGGGATTTTTTCCCCCCACACTCAGTGAGTTTTGAATCAGGTGAAGTAAAGATAAACTCTTTAAATGGGGCTTTTTGAGGTAGCAAGGTAGTGTCCAGACTGGTCAAATAGTGATAATTTATGGGGCTTCTTGAGTTCCAAACCCAGCCTGGCCTCCTCTGCTGACTGCTAGGCTATGGTTTGCACAGTCACAGTGTTTGTACGGCTGTTGTTGTTTGAGGCTCCTGCCTAGCCAGTGAAGGGACAGTGGGTATAGAACAAGTGAAAACACCACAAAACTCACTGTTGTTACAGGATTTAGCATTTTTCTTGACTAAACAAATGTTTCTTGGATTGTTGCAAGCTTTGGATAATTTCCAGAGTTCTGGGAAATTAATGTTGACAGTTTTTTCCCAATGTTTTCAAAGGTCCTTACTTTACCATTATAGAAATGACCTTTTCATTTTAAAATATGTTTGTTATGCTGTTGATATAAACATTTTTTCTCTTTTTCTGCTTTTAGATACCTTTGAGATAGCATCTGTGAACTTACCCATTCCTGTGCAACCCAGGAACTACTATAAGAGTGTTTCTGACAACAAAGATATTGTAAAATTAGTTTCTGTGCTCGGCACTATCATCAACTCCACCAAGAAGGTAGGTCACAGGATTTGTAGCCACGGCCCCTTGCTTCATAACATGTGAAACTGAACACCACAAGCTTGTCCTACGTGTAGCCAGGGTCCCACCAACTGTGAATTCAGTGAGCTGCTTATGGTACTTTGTATGCACACAGCAAATGTTTATTTAAAGATTTTTCATTCTAGATTGCAACGTGAAAGAGAACTAATATTCCTTTGTTTTATTTTGTGTTCTCTTTAGTGCTTTTACCTATTTATTTATTTAGTTCAAATAAATATAACTTAAATTTTTTTGATATGTTCCAAACCACAAGTCAGACTGGTGTTACAATTGACCTTCGTAGAGTCGGTGATACCAGTACATTTGAAATAGAATAAAATTTATAGTCAATTTTTCATATTTGTGTACTGAGGCAAATCTTAAGAAATATCAGATGAAAATTTATGTATATTGCCATGTGGAAATCAGATAATACTGAAAAATAAAGAAATATTAGTGTTATCAATGCAAACTTACACTAGTTATGGGGATAAATTTGAATTAATTACTATTGCCAACCTATTCTTAACTTTCCATTTTTTGTTTGGGCAAATCTGTTCTTATAGTAAAAAGATTCAAAGTCCTGAAGTCAATTTCTACTTAAAAATATATTTACATTGTCATTAAGATCTGTTGATTCTTTAAAATGGTTTTTGTGTCGAGGAAATAGTTGCCACTTAGTAAATAGTTTTTCTTATTCCTTAAAAAAAAAAAAAGAAGACTCATCTGAGGATATGTTCATTGATTTTAGAGAGAAATATCAATTAGTTGCCTCCTGTATGCACCCTGACTGATCAAACCCGCAACCTTGATATATGCCCCTACTGAGAATCGAACCTGCTACCTTTTGGTGTACGGGACAATGCTCCCATCAACTGAACCACCCAGCCAGGGCTCTATTACTTAGTTTTTATGGAATGAATTTCATTTGTTTTGAAAGCATTTTGAAAAGTTACCATTGCTGTAAAAATACGAGGGGATATTAAGTTTAATTTTAATGTATTCCTGAAGGAACTGGAAGTTTTTGCATTTATGCATTTCCAAGTTTCCTTTCTTAATATATTGAAGGTCCTGTATTTAATTTTGCCCTAGAGACAGTGTTCACATAATTCAGTTTAACAAATATTCATATAGTGCTTATTTTATCAAGCTTTATACTAAATGGTAAAACTAAATATAGTATTCTATGATTATAATGAACATTCACATATACTTCCCAATGTCTCCTAATCATGGAAAATACAATAAGACAAATCAGTAATAAAGTCCATTAATTTCTCTGAACATAAGTAGGCTCTTTTATGAAAATCTAAGGGTAAGACACAGCAATTGAAATTAACATACTGCTGGCAACAAATATACTTATCTTTTTGTCACTTTTATTACATTTGCTTTTTTATTATGTAAAGGAAATGTACAGATATTAGTCTTCCTTAAAGGGTTGGCACTTAGAATAATTTGAAGGACTTTTTCCAATTTGATAGGATGGCCAAATTGTTTCTGGAGGAATTTATGTGTGCTAGCCAGCCACAGCCATAGACCCTTCTGAGTGGTTCTCCCTCAACCACAGAAAATCCTAGGATCCAGTCCTTTTCTCTTGCCATCACTGATTATATCAGAGTGTAAACCTGACCTACATTCAGCATTTCCATAGGCTGGTCATCAACTTATAACATTGCCAGGCAGGCTTAAAAAGATGAGCTAGCTAAACCAAACAATCAAAATAACCTTGGTGAAAAATAAGGAAAACAGCTCTACATAGGTTGTTCATGTAGTTTTTCCCTTAAGTTCTAGGTTACCTCTGCTCTAACAAGTTCCAATCTAATAAAGAGTGACATAAAATAAATAAAAGTCTAAAACATTTAGTTAGAGTGTATCTTAATATTATAAATTCTTGGAGTTTCAAGAGCTCAGGATTCTGGAATGTCTACCTTTATCCAGGGATCTCTGATAATCTGTAATTCATTCTCCCAACCATCACACACTTGTGAATGTCTACCTGCTGTTGCAATGCATTCTGGGCATTTCATGTCAACACCTCAGCCCTTGCTTGGGGAGCAGTTGTGGTTGGGACAAGCAGTGACAGGCTTAGCTTTCTGGATTTTAATGGGTGAGAAGTCTTAACACTTCTACCTGAATCTCTGAGGGACATTTTAGCTACATGTTGGGAATTGAAGTGAAACTACTCCTTGGTTTGGTACAGGTTGGTGCAATTTACTTAATGTAATTGGACCATTTAGAATGCTGTTCATAATATTCTATTTTTTCACATAATTGCATTTTTAATTTTATCTCAATTTATAAAAAATTCTTATGCAGATATAACTCTGAAATTATAATGTAAACCAATAGAAAAACTTGATTCCCAAATGTATAACCACCATAAATGAGGAGACAAATTTTTAAGTCTTTGTAGATGATATGATTATCTACCAAGTAAATCCAAGAAGCTAATCTGAAAAAAATAAGGCCTAATAAGAGTTAAATTGGTAGTCAGTTGAAAGATAACTATAGGCATTTCTGCTATAATGCAATAAACGTGTTCCTAAAAATTTCATTTTGCAAATTTGCACATTTAATAAAATAGGGATTATGAGTAAAGCAGGATTGAGGCACACACACAAAACTTAGGAAATTTCATAATCAGAATAGCAACAAAAATCATAGCAACAATAAAAAACATAGTAAAATATTAACCCATTTACTAACACTCTAAAAAAGTATGGAACTTTACTATCAAAAGGTGAAAGATACTTGTTAGAAGGTGGTATAAGAAACCATTAAAGCTGCTGAGTTATGGAAATAAGGATAAAATATTTAAAGTTCAGGTCGAACTGTGCAAAGAACATTCTCAAAACAAAGTGGTGACCAAATTGGTCCAAAAGGAAGAAGAGGGAGGGGGATATGGCACAGAGGATTGTACCCTGCTGTGGCTTGCTGCTTTAGCTGGTACAGAACAAAGTGGTGGGAAAAAGATTACTCTAAACTTTAAGGAATTTAAAAAAAATTGGCAGATTTAGAAACACATGCTATGTTCCTGGATAGGAAGATTTAATATCGTACAAATGTTGGTCCTTATCCAATGAGTTTATATATTTTATGTGATTTGATGCAGTGGGGTTTGATGCTGGATATGTTATTTGCCTCTCCAGATCTGTGCTCCACTCTCTGACTTTAAGGAACAAGTCAATAGGTTTCCATTGAAGTGAGGGAGGGAGAGTGATCTTGGAGTGCTTTTTCCCATCGTACTCTTGTTGTAGATAAGCTGCCAGGCAGCCCAGAGGAATAATCAGTCGGGCACTCAGAGGATTCAGAAGAGGAGCCTTTAATGCAGAATTGCAGATGCACTAGTGCAGTGACTCAGGGGAATCAGCCTCCAAAGCCTGAGTGATGAGCATGGAGGAAGCTTTCCTTTTATCCCTTTTAGTTTCTTTGTTCCCCAAATATGGATCAGGCTTCTGGACTTTTCCCGGGCTTTGCAGCCCCCATGGGTTGGGATGGGGGAAGTGAGATTACACCCAAAGGCTTGGCTGGCTGGTGCCAGTACTCTCAACCCCCTCTGGGAGTTGTATATGGTTCATGACTTATGGCCTCTGTAAAATGGGAGTATTCTGGAAAACAGGTTCTGCAAGGCATGACAGGCATTACAGATAAGAATGGAGCTAATTATCTACTAACAAGAATATGTGTCAGAATACAGGTTACTGGCACAGAGTCAGATTGCTAGCCCCCAAAACTTATATTCCCCTTCACTCTCTATGATATGATCTTGAGCTGTGGTTTTTTTATCTGAGGTCTAGCTGCTATCAAAAGGGCCTTGTCCGCGAGACTCTCCTACTTTTTTGGGCTGTGGATGGTCCCATTTCCACGGTTACTAGTCTTGGGTTACTGTTTACACTATTGTATATAGTCCCAGTTCTGTGGCCTTTACAACTAATCACCCAGTTCACTAATTAAACATTTTAATGTATCCATGGGAACCATCAACAGTTCACCGTTCATGATGCCATTTCTGACTCTTCTTTCTCAACACACATAATCTTATTTGTATCCTAGGAAATTATTGCATCCATGGATTGCTTCAAATGCTACAATCACATTTGGCAAAAGGAGAAAGAAGAAACCCTCATGACGTTTATTATGAAAAACCCCTTGCTTCCTGAATTTGAATCCCAGATTCTCTATTTCCAAAACCTAGAGCAGAAGATTAATGCTGAGCCTGAATATATCTGTGTGGGCACCATTGCTCTGTACACAGGTTGGTTCATTTTCTTTCAGACAGCCATAAAAATTCAACAGTATCGTTCTGTCTCTTTATGGAGATTAGTACTCCAGAGAGTTTTAGCTCATCTTAAAGACTGACTTTCCTTTTATAGGCCTTAAGCTTTAAGACCAATTTGTAGACTTGTTTTTAATTCCCTTTTGCATAATTATTTATTCTGGACTATTTTGAATACTTTGCTGCTAAACCTTGAAAATAAATGCTACTTCAGAGAAAGGGGATCTGTGATATTTGCAATTAAAGTTTATCCTTTCTTTAATAAACAACAGTAACAAACGTCAGGATTACTTACCGCCAACGGTTTTGATATGTACTGTGTTTCCTTTTTAGCATTTTGAAATGTGTTTTCAATTGCTAGAAAACAAGCTTTATAAAATAAATGAATATATAATGATTAAGAAAAATAAATTTTTTTCAGTTTGATTTTTTTCATGTTAGAGGGTTGTCACATGCAGTTGCAGGGGGTCTACTTATACTGGTTCAAAGTTTTCAAACTGAACTGTGGACACTTGGGTTTTTTTAGCTGACTTGAAGTTCACCTTGACTGCTGAGACGAAGGCCTGGATGGTTGTCATCGGCCGTCACTGTAACAAAAAATACAGGAGTGAGATGGAAAACGTTTTTGCACTTGTTGAAGAGTTCAGTAAGAAACTGAATCGTCCAATTAAAGACCTAGATGATATTCGGATTGCTATGGTGGCACTGAAGGAAATCAGGGAGCAGCAGATTGTCATTGACTTCCAAATAGGACCCATCGAGGTAATTGATAATCATGTGTTCATTATAGAATTATCTCCACAGGTTGGGTGAGATTAGCTGAAATACTGACCAGGTCTGGACTGGAGTTACTGGGTGCTAAACTTAAGAACAGCAATTTCAGTAAAGATGATGTCTAATCCCTATAGGGTGCCTTCTATGGATCCGTATGAGACCCTTAGGGGCAGAACCTGAGATGAGGATTCTATACACGTGATTTATTGATGAATATTCACTGGAGAAGGGGAGTGAGGGAAACAGGAAAGGATGAGGTCAGGTTGGGGGGAACTAAGTGAAGATAGGGTCTTAGCTATAGACTGACTTCAGCCTGATCCCACAGGGAGCCATAGAGCATGGATTGTACCACACAGTATTTTTCCACATTGAGACAAGGGGACTGCCCGTTGTACCCCCACATCTGTTGACCATCAACCATAATCTCCCCAGGAGAAGGCTCCTATTCAGCTGAGGACAATTTTCTAGAAAGAGGGCAGGATGATCCTACAGTGAACACTCTCAGCAGTTGGGGTTGCAAATACCTGCTGGTAAATAGGACCTGGATGGGGTACTAATAGTGTCCTTTCATGTGTTAACTCATTTAATCCTTCCTGCAACCCCCTCTTTACCCACAAGGAAACTGAGGGTCAACAAAATTACACAATTTGATTAGTGTTGCACATTACTTTTGTTTTTATTATCATACTATATTTTCTTGATGAAAATGTTTTCTCAGCAATCTGCCACTATATTTGTTCTTTTAAATGAGACTAGTATAATTGTAGCATTAAAACAATCCCAGACATAAAAACATTGTCTGTTCCTCACACCGTAACTTGAATGCCTGGACTTACACTCTGATGCTCAGGGTCATATCTAGTCTCACATTATCTGGACCCCTCTTTGAATATTTATAAATGTCAAATTACCGTGAATGTGATACAGGTGACAGCACATTTGCACTTCTGCTGTGTTGGGAAATCATGTGCTCTGCTCTGCTCTTCTTGGGAATGGGAACATCAAGGCGAAGAGTCCCTGCTTTGTGTAGGACCAGGGGTGACCCTGGGGTGTGAAGAGGAGGTCCGGTAACAGACAACCTTGTTTTCTCCACCTGAGAGTTAAGACAAAACTATAGTCAAGTAGTCAAGATCAAAGTACAATCGTTATTATGGCTAGAACTTACTTGGAAGACATGATCTAGTGTACAACTCTCATATTCCCATTACACCCGCCACCCCCACACTACACACACACCAGGGTTTATGAATACTAAATCCCAGAATTGGACTCACTCATCCATCAGAGGCAGCGTTGGGCAGCTGTTGGCCTCTGTAACCTGCTCCATTTTATTGCCTGGGGTGCCGATCAGAGGTATGCCAGAAAGGAGAAAGAGGGAAAGGGGAGAGAGGCACGGGGCTATGCTTGCCCAAAGCAACAGTCTTTTTGCAAATCAATGGTGATATATCCTTCCTACCTCTATGGGGAGGAGTCATGGTAGGAAGGGGCCAGGGATATTTAAGGAAATTTTTTTCTCATGAAAATCTACCTTCGCTTCATTTTAATCTTCTGGCAAAGAGTCATCCAGGATTTTACATCCTGAGGGCAATGACCTGGCCCAGGCTCTGATTCAAGAACACCCTGCGCATCTCACTAGCAAGTGAAATACAGCACAGATACCTGTAATTTGTACAACGATTTTAGTTTTCAAATTGCATTAAAATGATATATTTTTTGATATTCACAGAAATCCCTGCGAAGCAGCCAGGGAATTTTCCCATTTTGCGAATCAGGAAATGAAATTAAGGGGCTCAGTTGCTCACTTAAGCTTTTACCGTTTGCAAGTAGAGTAACCAGAACTCTATGGGCGGGTCCCGATCATGCTGATCTTTTCTGTTCTAAATGCTTAATGAGTGACTGTGTGTAGACTTATGCACCTGATTGATAGGAATTAAATTTTTCTCCTTTCGTGTAGGAATCCTATGCCCTACTTAACAAATATGGGCTTCTGATAGCAAAAGAGGAGATGGACAAGGTTGATACTCTGCATTATGCCTGGGAGAAGCTTCTGGCACGTGCCAGTGAAGTTCAGAATGAACTAGCCTCACTGCAGCCTGGTTTCAGGAAAGAGCTTATTAGTACTGTGGAGGTCTTCTTCCAAGACTGTCAGCAGTTCTATTTGGACTATGATTTGGTATGACACTAGCCTTCTCTTTGTGTATTTTTGGGGAAGAGTGAATAGAGAATGCAGGTGTGTGTGGGGGTGTGTGTGTGTGTGACATGCTGTTGAGTCGGCTCTGACTCCTGATGACCCTGTGAATGAGTGATGTCTGTGATGTTCTGTCTTCAACAGCCCTGCTCAGCTCCTGTAGACGCACGCCTGTGGCTTCTTTCATGTTGTCAGTCACCTCCTATTTGGTCCTGCTCTTTTCCCTCTGCCTCCCAGTTTACCCAGCATGATTGTCTTTTCCAAAGAACCCTACCCTGCCTTCTCACGATGTGCCCGAAGTAGGACAGCTTCCGTCTTGTCATGTTTGCCGTGAGCGATGTTTCAGGCTTACTTTGCTCTAGGACCCACTTGTTCATCTTTCTTGCAATCCAGAGCGTCCATAGAGCTCTCAACACCACTTTTCAGATGAATCCATTTTTTCCTATCAGCCTTCTTCACTGTCCCACTTTTGCATGCATACCTAGTAATTGGGAATATGAGTGCATGGATGTAAAATGTAGTTGTTTAAAGACTGTGTCAAATTTAATGAAATTCCCTGGGAATGGGAATTTCATTTTCATGAGAGCACAGGCCTTTATTTCCCATTCACAATTTTTTTTCTCTTATAGTTCATCCAGAATTATTTTAATAGGAAATGGGAAATTTAAAAGTGCTATTTATTGGACACAGACACCAGGGGGGTGAGGGCATGAGCGGGGGTGGGGGCAATGGGGAAATAAGGACACATATGTAATAACTTAATCAATAAAGAAAGAAAAAAATACCATAAAAGTGCTATTTATATTATGTCATTGGACTGTGATTGAAGTTGTTTGATAGCTTTCTAAACTTGCATAGACAAAAACAATTTACGTATAGTTAAAATGGTTCCCCTCCCGACAGCATTCATTAGTTCCACAAGTGCTGTAGAGCACCCAGAATGTGCCAGGTACTGCCCTTGGTGCTGAAGACACAAAAATGGACAAGGCAGATGGAGTCCATATTTTCTCATACATATATGAGTTTTAGTGTAGAACCTTTCGCTGGGAGTATGATGCATAATGAGACCCATTTAGCTGACTATAGTACAATATGCTATGGAAGAGAAATATGTAGAGCATAGGGTAGCATTTGTTCCTATTAACTACTAGCACACCAAACTACAAAGTTAACAAAGTTAGGGAATTGGACCTCTGCACTAGCGTCATGGGTGAAGAAGCACAGAAATACACATAGTTAAGGTGTTCTAATGTGAGAAGACCTGATTGGAATGTTAAGGTTATAGGTTACTTTATGCATAGATGTTAGAATGGTTAAATGTGTGAGTTTTTTGGCATTAGTGCTTTAGTTCAAAACCAGACATTAGCCCGACTGGTGTGGCTCAGTGGTTGAGCATCGACCTATGAACCAGGAGGTCACGGTTCGATTCTTGGTCAGGACACATGCCTGGGCTGTGAGCTCAAACCCCATAGGGGGTGTGCAGGAGGCAGCCGATCAATGATTCTCTCTCATCATTAATGTTTCTATCCCCCTCTCCCTCTCCCTTCCTCTCTGAAATCAACAAAAAATATTAAAAAATTAAAACAACAACAACAACAACAACGAAAAACCCAGATAATATATTTTTTATAGAGCAGTTATTAGTCTGTGCCTTAACACCTAAGAAATGAATAGTACAGATTTTTACTTTCAGAATTTCTTGACATATGGAAGTTGCATCAGTAACTTGGAGTTAGACTTGAAAATATTTCCAAATGAGTTACTTTCCCTAGACCTTTTAAAATAAAAATTGGTTCCAGTCATGTATATGACATGCATGAACACTAACTTTGATGTTCAAATACTTTGAGCTCATGAAATTTATGTGCAAACACTTCATTCTATTTTATATTTATCTTAACTGTTTGTTTCAGAATGGCCCAATGGCTAGCGGCTTGAAACCCCAGGAAGCCAGTGATAGGCTTATCATGTTTCAGGTAACCTTTTTAGTTTCTACTAAACCTGTTTAGTTTCTAAACAACCAAAACCTTAATGTGTTTTAAACACTCCCTTTTCCCTCTCTATTGACATAGAAAAGTTTATTGTGTAAAATGGTATGGACTTACATTTAAAAAATATGATTTGGTATGGTTACAGGTAGAGTTGGTTTCTATGTAATTAATTACATTCCTTTGGTATTTCTCTGTATATGTGCTCAGAGATCATATACTGAGATTTGCCAGTCTTTTTTTTTAAATTTACATGCTTGTTCATGTTAAATTATTTTGATACATTTTCACTTGTGTTTTTATTAGAATCAATTTGATAATATCTATCGGAAGTACATCACCTATACTGGGGGAGAGGAGCTTTTTGGTCTGCCAGTTACCCAGTATCCTCAGCTTCTCGAAATAAAGAAGCAACTAAATCTTCTCCAGAAAATATACACTCTGTACAACAGTGTTATAGAAGCTATAAATAGCTACCACGATATTCTGTGGTCAGAAGTAAATATTGAAAAAATCAACAATGAACTTTTAGAGTTCCAGAACAGGTGAGGAGTTCAGTGTTTAACATGCTCAGAACTATTGAACCTCAAATGCTTTCTTATCTGATTGGCTGTCAAGTTCTCCCTCCAGATGTTTGGAAAGCACGTCACGCTGCATTGCAGTTGTCTGCTAGACATCACCCTTGTCAAATGACATTTATTAATTGTCCCATGTGTGTACACAGGGAGACAAGCACGCCCTTTAAACCTGGATGACTCTTGTCAGAGGCTCTCCTGCAGCTTGGAGCTGATCTCTATTTATATTTTACTTATTGAACATTCAGGGTTTAGTAAGATGATTTCCTGGCATAAAAGCAAGAGCCCATGGTTTTTCTACGTCCTGTTAAGTATTGAACCCAAAGAAAATGGAGGGTCATTGATGGTAATTTTTTGGTTGACAGTCTGATACTCTCTGCTGTGTTTTTTACTTGATAGGGTTTCAAGAAATGTTTGTAGAATTGAATTGAATCAGGAGGTACCTCTATCCTTTAAAATAATGCCTTGTATCTAGTTAGTTGTTATGGGGGATTGGATTTTTTCCCCTGACTGGGAGGAGTAATTTTTATCATATAAATGTGATTAATCGATATCCTCTGACTTCTGAGATTTAAAAATGTGATATTTGAAGTGACTAGTTTTGATAAAGATGCTGGCAGACAGTCCTGGACTGGAGACTTCTGGGCTTAAGGCAAATGAACTTTCCTGTTGCCTTCCCTTTGCAGATGTCGGAAGCTGCCCCGGGCGGCAAAGGACTGGCAGGCTTTTCTGGATCTGAAGAAGACCATTGATGATTTCAGTGAATGCTGCCCCCTGCTGGAACACATGGCCAGCAAGGCCATGATGGACAGGCACTGGGCAAGGATAACTGCTCTCACTGGGCATAGTCTGGATGTGGGGAATGAAACTTTTAAGTTAAGGAACATCATGGAGGCACCTCTTCTGAAATACAAAGAGGAAATAGAGGTACAGCAGGTAGCATGCATGGTGGGAGACTGGAAGCTCTCAGGGGATTTATTTGATAGTAGTCCTGCATTGTGGAATGTTGCATCCGGACACCATGCCAAGACAATTGAAACTGTTTTCCTGGCATCCACATAATTCCTTCAGCAAATGTTGCTGTGATAAGTTCTGTGCTTAGTGCTAGGGATGTGAGGTAATTAATTTGTTTAATGAAATGTTTATACAAATAAGGATACAGTTACAAGCTGTGGTAAATACCATTGAAAGAAAAGTAAATACCATTGAAGGAAAAGTATGATGTTCTGTGGAGTTCCTACAGTGAAGGGGCTGACCTGTCTGGGAGGTGAGGGAAGGGTGATGAAGGTAGAGGAGGGTGGGGTGGATGCACCTGACTGGCTGGATAAAGGGAGTGTGCTTGTGTGGTGAGGTTAGGGACTTGTAAAGTGCAAAGGGGGTTGGAAAGTACAAAAAAGGCAATGCCAGGCAGAGAGGAAAGCATGTGTGAAGGATCTGAGCTGTGTTTGGGGGACCATTAGAAGGCCAGAATGGCTGGGGTATGGGGATAGGGGGGAGAGGAGATAGCTGAGAAAGGGCAGGCACAGTGGGCTAGAACATGTTATGGATTTTAGGCTTTGGAATAGTGAGGAGCCATCTGGAAGATGTACTTTGAGCAGGGGATGCCATGGTTAGATTTTCATTTTGTGAAGTTCACTCTGCTAGCTGTGTGGATAAAGGATGGGAGGATAGCAAGGGAGATGATGGGCAAACCAATTGGGAGCTTATAAGAATATCTGAGGCAAGATTCAGTGGTGTGTTGGATGAGTGGGCAGATAGTTAAGATGGAGAGGGGAGAAAAGATGAAGAGATCTGTAGGTGGTAAAATTGGGTAGAATTTGGTGTTGGAGGGAACATGGTAGGAGATAGAAGGTGGAGGGACTAAGGATGAAGTCTAGATTTCCTGAGAGATCTAGATGGATTTTGGGGTTTATCACTGAGACAGGGAATCTTAGAAGGGAATCAGGTTGAGTGACAGGTACAAAGACTGTCCACTTGATTTTGGGCATGAGTTTGGTATTTCACAAATTGTGCTTGGGGCTCCCTTATGTAGTTAAGCAGAGAAACCCAGTAGGAAACTTGGATGTAGGTCTCACTTGGGGATACAAAAGCTTACTGACTGCATGGGCACAGATGAGCTCCACTCACCTGGAACATGAGACCAGAAAAGAGCAAAGGCAGGGCTGGATTACTGGTCCAGCAGAGGGGAAGGCTGCAGAGGAGACTGGGAAAGTGATCAGAGTGGGGAAGAAGTCAGAATCCTGCTAATACCCCCCTCTAGTATTGCACTGATTTGACTTCATCATAGAAACAGTAAAATTTGAGTCTGATGAAAGTTTCAACATTTAAAAGGTTATTGCATATTGTTGATCCCAATTTAAACATTTTGATATAACTGACATATAGCTTCGTGTAAGTTTAAGTTGTACAACATATTGATTTGATATACATGTATATTGCAATTATATTGCAGCATTAGAACACCTCTTTCATCGTGTAGTTAGATCTAGTCTCTTAGCAAGTTTAATGTTTATAATACACTATTGTTCACTATAATCACTAAGCTGTGCACAACCTCTGCAGAACTTACTCATTTACTAGATTTGGGAACATGAGTATTTATAGATACATGTGAAGCAAAAGGTGAAGATAGGCCCTCTGTGGGACCTAGACTATTTGGGAAACATGTGTGACGTTCATGTGATAAAGGGAGGGCTTGCAACTTTCTAGGACATCTGCATCGGTGCCGTGAAAGAGAGAGACATTGAGCAAAAGCTGAAGCAAGTGGTGAATGAATGGGACAGCAAAACCTTCACATTTGGCAGCTTTAAAACCCGCGGAGAACTCCTCCTGCGAGGAGACAGCACCTCGGAAATCATCGCCAGCATGGAGGACAGCTTGATGTTGCTGGGCTCCCTACTGAGCAACAGGTAGGAACACCTCCATCTTTCTTTCCTGAGGTTTGAGAACCGTAAGACCAAGCATTTCAAGGGAAATGAATGCTTATGGTAAAAATGCAACCATACCCCTCTTACAATTTACTCAATATTAACAATACTGGCTTTAATTTTAGCTTTTGGCACAGCATGTGTGATACTGTTTTTATTTCGTTGTCCTCTATTTGTAGATTGTGTCTGAGACCATCCACTGGACTAACGGTCCAGGAGAGTAGAATATCAGTAGATACAATTCACAACATGCAGGCAGCCTCTTGGATCTGTGACCATTTCAGCCTGGTTGCTGACAAGCCTCACTGCACAGCCAGCAGCTCAGGGGGCTCTACAGTCTGGGGTGGGGGGAGGATTATTCTGAATTTCAAACTAATCATTCGACCCAGAAAACCATTTTGCCCACATGTTTATGAACTAGAAGTGCACATACTTTAATGATCAGGATACTGAGTGAATTTAATTCACAAAGAAAAGTAAAACAGTACAGACTAATGCCAGTCTAACACTTCTGTCTGGCAGTAACAGCAAGGCCGACACGCTTTGGTCTCGCAAGCCATAGATTCCTAAACTGGCATTTCCTTGGGTTACTACTTCCCTTTACTCTTTCTGAAATAACTTTTGTCCACTAGCATCTTCTCAAATATATGGTACTTGTGTAGAATGTGGATACCAACGAGATGTGATTATTGCTATTCTATCTTTAAAATGCTACTCTTTTCTCTGTGTATATATGTAACAATAATTTTAATGTAGGGAGTAATAACTACTTAAAATGCTTATTTTTTCCATTTACTGGGTACATCTAAGTATTTAAACTGAATGATATAGAATATAAAATCGGGTCTTAGAGATTTAGACCTTTGGTAACATAGAGTCTGAACTACTTAGGATTTGGTGAGATTTAACAAATTTGGTTAATACTCATACCCAACCAGAATGAGGGTTAGATGGAAGATGATACAACCTAGGGCGGTAGAAAAGGCACACATATAAATTAAGAAAATTAGGGATGGAGAGACTTTGCTTACCAATGACATCAAATGTGGATTTGTGTGAGGAACATCGCGGACACCAAGGAAAAGATAGAAGTTAAACAGTGAGACTATTACTCTTGGCGGAAGCAACAATGACCAGAATTATACGGTGGCAGCTGGGTGGAGTCCAATCTCATCCCTGCCCTGCTCCGTAGGGGACATGTCTCCCACCTCTCTATGCTCTGGATCAAAAGGGAAAATATTAGTCTAACAATGTCCAATACATGGTGGTGAATTAATCACTTGGCAGCATCATTTTAAAAGCCAGCAACATAAAGTTGTAAAGAAATCAGTCACAATTAGGGTTTTTAAAAACCTCTTTAATTTTTGAGAGCAACAACAATAACATTAAAGCATAAAACACCGAACCCTAAATGCTGCATATATTTCCCATTTCAGGTACAATATGCCATTCAAAGCCCAGATTCAGAAATGGGTACAGTTACTTTCCAACTCGACAGACATCATCGAGAACTGGATGCTGGTGCAGAACCTGTGGATTTACTTAGAGGCCGTCTTTGTGGGAGGAGATATTGCCAAGCAGCTTCCCAAGGTTTTAGAATTTTCTTTATGATTTCATCAGGTGTTTAACTTAGAGAACTAATCATTTTTTTTTAAAAAAATGTAATTCAATTTATGTTCCTGCCCCCTCCCCATTTTTTTGTGTGGTTGCTACTGATCTGTTTTTCAAAGAGAGAGAGAAATTAAGGGAAAGAAGGGGCATGACAATCAGAGTGAGAACACTTGGAAGCTGAGAGGTTTTATAGGAAATCGAGGGTTAAAACAAACAAAGAATGAGTGCCTACCTAATTGACATACTTCTTGCGATAATTTGAAGGTAGAATTTGGAACAGGGTAGAATTATGGAGTAGTTTTCTTGACAATGGTAGGATAATTTGTTCCTTTACTACTGACAGTTTAAAATAACTCCCACTATACAATATACGCAATTATATCTGAACTGTAAAATTGAGGGGTGGAAATCTGTAGGAAAAAAGCTCTCAAACAAAAAGGCCCTCTTCTCAAGTGTGGAGTGTTTTCCTCATCAAATTGTAATCATCTCACTAGGTAGATATGGAGTGTATTTTGAGGTACTTAAAAAAACCATTTTTACCAAATTGCAAGGATTCTTATTCAATTACCTTAAGTTGTTTGCAAAATCATAACATTTTAACAATATATTTGAATTTTAGAGGCATGATTATGTTGAGTGTTCTCTTTACTTAGGTGTTCTAGCTATCTCTTTGGTTCATTTTTAGTTTAATTATAGAGGACATACCTGTTAGCTGATTTTTTTGGCTACCAGTGAATGCAACCCTACACTAAAATTTTAAGTATTTATTTATTTTTGCTTTCGTATTTGGCCATGCTTTTCTTTTTGATGGGTGGAGACGAATCTCAAATTGGACTTAATAATGGAAATTTGCACATACAACATTGAAGGAGCTACGTGGGGTTTCTTGCTCTCATATTTGATGGTACATGCTCAATGAAAAAATACAGAAAGTCTTTTTTAAAAAATATATTTTATTCATATTTTACAAGAGGAAGGGAGAAGGATAGAGAGTTAGAAACATCGATGAGAGAGAAACCTCGATCAGCTGCCTCCTGCACACTCCCTACTAGGGATGTGCCCATAACGAAGGTACATGCCCTTGACCGGGATCGAACCTGGGACCCTTCAGTCCACAGGCCGATGCTCTAGCCACTGAGCCAAACTGGTTAGGGCAATACAGAAAGTCTTAATGATGAAAATAAAAATTATTCCTACTCTCAAAAAAATCTTCCCATTTTGCATTTTTTCCTGAAAATTGTTTTACAATATTAGCATTATAATAAAATTAATATTGTATGTTATTTCTAAATGATTATTTTATTTTCTAATTACGCAAGCAATTCAATGCAGAAAACCTGAAAAGCTTAAAATTCACTTCATTTAGAGATAACTGGTAGAAACAGTGGGAATGTCCTTTCCTTTCAGATTGTCTCAGATTGTATTATTACTTTTGTATTGGTTCCCTGTTTTTAGTTACCATAATGGGGTACCAGGGATGAGCTAAGGCTTCTTATTTAAGAAAGGGGGTGGTAGGTGCAAAAGGCCTGAGGAGAATTCCTGTGTGATATGTTGATGGGGCATTTCAGACTGGTCAGAAATCTGGCTTTGGCGGGAGGTATGTGAGACGCTCTGTCCTTGAGATTACAGACGTGTCCAATGTGCTTTGTCACCTCATTCTCATAGGAAGCCAAACGCTTTTCCAATATAGATAAGTCTTGGGTGAAGATCATGAATCGGGCACACGAAATGCCAAACGTAGTTCAGTGTTGTGTCGGAGATGAAACCATGGGGCAGCTATTACCACACTTGCTGGACCAGTTGGAAATATGCCAGAAATCCCTTACTGGGTAAGTTCCCTGCTCTGTGAAGCTCCCTTAGCATCCTAGAGAGGGCAGGGTCCAGAGAGATTAGACCAGCCGTGGGCAAACTACGGCCCGCGGGCCGGATTCGGCCCGTTTGATATGAATATAACTAAAAAAAAAAAAGACCGTACCCTTTTATGTAATGATGTTTACTTTGAATTTATATTAGTTCACACAAACACTCCATCCATGCTTTTGTTCCGGCCCTCCGGTCCTGTTTAAGAACCCATTGTTGTCCTTGAGTCAAAAAATTTGCCCACCCCTGGATTAGACAGAATTAGCCAAATCAGTTTTCTTTTGCTGAGACCTAATTCATATCTGACATTGCACAGATAAAACTGATAGTCTGGAGCCTTAAAGTCTCTCCGAGCATTCGCTAGATTTGTCCTGATGTTGGGATTACAGGATTTAAGGCAACTTCCATTACTGGGACCAGGTCTTGCAAACATTCACATACAGTCCTTGCTTTTAAAAATTAATACACCTATTTTTCTGATATCCTTCTTGTATAAATATCTGAAGAACCAAAACATTTCATTATAGTCAACCAAGAACAATTTGAACAGTTTGTAGTGTACACAAATAGTCAAAATTATACAGAAACAAGATTGGTGTGCACAGTCACACACACTCTTATGTATGTGATGGCTGAGTGAAATTCAAGAATAATAAATATTTTTCATTTTTTCCCCTTTGGTGAGTCAATATAAAATTATGCAAGTAGAAAAATGTTAAATAAGAATATTGTAAAAACAGTTATCTACACGTGCAGTTATTTATTTATTTATTTCTTGAGGTAATCCTATATAATAAAAGGCTAATATGCAAATTGACCGAACGATGGACCGACTGGTCACTATGATGTGCACTGACCACCAGGGAGCAGACGCTCAACGGAGGAGCTGCCCCCTGGTGGTCATTGCGCTTCCACAGGGTGAGCTCTGCTTAGCCTGAGCTGGGCTCATGGCTGGCTGGTGAGCACAGTGGTAGTGGTGGGAAAAGCTGTCAGTTGGACAGCCCCTAAGGGCTCCTGGACTGCAAGAGGGTGCAGGCCAGGCTGAAGTTCCTCCCACCCCCCGAGTGCACGAATCTCATGCACTGGGCCTCTAGTTGACATATAACATTATATTAGTTTCAGGTGTACAGCATAATGATTAGATACCTATATATATTGCAAAATGATCACCACAATAACTATAGCAAACATCCATCACAACACATAGTTATAATTTTTTTTTCTTATAATGAGAACTTTTAAGATCTACTTTTAGAAGCTTTCAAATACACAATACATATTACTAACTATAGTTACCATGCTATACATTTCATTTCCAGGGCTTACAACTGAAATATACATGCTTTTAAATATCTCTTCTTCTAAACTGTTAGTCTCCTTAGAATGTCTCCAGACATTCTTCTTAAAAACTTTGGGTAAACTATTGATTATTGCATTGGTCAGAGTTCTCTAGAGAAACAGAACCAAGGTGACACACACAAACTGTAAAAAATTTTTTCTTTTTATTATGGAGATACTTAAAATATCACTTGATATTTTGCCATTATTTTATAACTCTTTAGAGGAAAGCCTACTCTAAAATTACAGTTTTTTACAGAGCCCCCCTTGGCTTTTGGATCTGTTGCCAAGAAGAGGTTATGAGCCAACATATGTAAGGCCAGTATAAATACTTGAGTACTAATGTTTACAGAAAAACAACACCCTCCCTCCTATGCTGATAAGGATCTGCATGGATGAAGGGTCTTCAAAGGTCAGGAATAAGCTGTCTTCTCTACTTCAGCAGCTTGGTTTGGTTGTCACATTCCATGTGCTTCCTTCCATCCTAGTCCAAACGGATAGGAAATGTTACCTGAGTCCTGAGCAGAATCAGACTAGTCTTATGTCCACTAGTCTGAGGGCAAGTAGGGTTAGGAATTGGCAAGTAAGTTATTAAGAACAAAAGTCAAAGTTATATAAATAAGAAGGTTTAGGATATTTAAAATCATAAAAGTAAGGAATGCAAACAAAATAAAACATTGGGAGCATTAAGGTAAACCTTTAAAAAAATGAGGGAGGATATGAGAAGAGGCTCATTGGGCAGCCTCTGCTTTTGTCCTTCTCACTCTTTGAGGCCAGACTTTGTGCTTTTTCACAAGCTGAGGTAAACATATCCAAATTGCCCAAATAGTAGCTTGTAATGGCTATTTCACTAATTATCCTGTGAGGGTCAAAGAGCAAGATTACAACATATAGCGAGGCTTACCCACTCTCATCACTTTAGAAGTGCTCTTCCCTTCCCACTTCCTCACTGACCACCAGCCTCTCCTTATAGCTCCTGCCTTGCGTTACCTCTTTCAGACTCTGAAAAAAGCCTTCTCTTTTCTGTTGAGGAATTTAGCTCTGACCCTCACCCTGGACATCCCACTGGACAAAACAGAAGTCCAGCCCCTGACTGAAGATGGACTGTTGGGAGTTCCCATGCAGGCCTTGAAGGTGCCCCTGGCTCAGCTACTGATCCAAGCAGTCTTTCAGTAAAAACTCTAAGAGGAGAATTCAGCTTCTATGAAATAAAAATGACCATAATTTTACACAGGAAACAAATAAATAATAAAAACACGTAATAATATAAATAAAAAGTAAGACAAGTAAATAATACACAAAATGAAAGAATAGAAATAAAAACAAGACAATGTTCAAAAGGTATTTCTGGTAAGGTTTCAAAAAGAAACTGCAACTAACTCTGCATTCATTATATTAAAATGTGCTGGAACATGAAGATACAGAGGTATAGGTATGAGAATAACAGAAAAAACATCCATAACATAAGGAATCACCATAAAATAAAGCAAACATAGAAACCAAAGTGCAGTTGAAATCAGGGCAATGATGGGCAAATCGACTGGGTTTTGGTAATGCTTGGAGGTGGATCAGAGCCTAGACCCTTTTCATTTGTAGCTGGATTTTGTTTCTGCTTTGGTGATGGAATCATTGTTTTTATTTTATCGTCATCCTCACCAAAAGACCTGCTTTTTATTGATTTTTTTTTTTTTGAGAGAGAGAGAGAGAGAGAGAGAGAGAGAGAGAGAGAGAGAGAG